TGACAGCTCAGAGCCTGGAGCCTGCTTCAGATTCTGTGTTTCCCTCTCTGTCTCTGCCCCTACCCCGCTCATGCTATCTTTCTCTCAAAAATAAGTATTAAAAAAAAAATTATAAAAATAAAAACTGTATTTTGTCATGATACACAAGTATAAATGGGAATCCTTTAAAAAAATTTCAATATAATAAAAATTGAAAGTTTAGAATACTGAACTGTGTAATTATTTCAACTTTTTGTCATAATACTAAGAATTTTTCCATTCCTACTCTGAAAAACGTCTCGTAAATGAAGTGTGTGTTTTTCTTTGTATATGCCTCTAATACAAATATCCAGATAATTCTAGAATTACATTTTTTTTTTCAGCTTGGTGTTCATTAGAATGTGTTTGTATTTCTCCATATTTACTTTTGAAAATCATTTAACATTCTTTCTTAACCTTTAAATAGGAACAGTTGTAGTTACTAATGATTTTAGAATAGTATAGCAATTTAATTAAACTATGTATGTATATTTTGGTGTGTGTTCTTTTTAAATAGGGTTATTGGGGTTGTGCCATTGGCAAAGCCAGGCAAGCTGCAAAGACGGAAATAGAAAAGCTTCAGGTAATACATACTTAATGCTTGAATTTTCCTATGACGTTACCCTCATGTATTGAAGTTTTATCACAACAAATGAAACTGTTTAAGATTACATAGAGTGTGGTTTCCTGTTTAGGCAGGGCTTTCTGAATGTAATAGGCTGAATAAGAAAGCTGGTCATATCTGTATCTATACAGATAAGGTATGACACAGATACGATATATATAGAGTATAGATATATGTGCTATAGATATGTATGATAATTACAGAGTTGTGTCATGGAGCCCTTTATAATTTTGATGGCTAATGATAAACCCCTTAATCCAGAAAAATACACATGGAAATTTTCATATAATTTCATAATCCTTGAGGTCCATTCATGGAACTCTGTGACCCTTAGGTTGAGAACTTTGAAAGTCTTTAGAGTCTGTGTTCTGGTGCTTCTCTTTCCTTTGTTCCTAGTTAGATAAGGCATTAAACCCCATCCTGTTAAAACTGCCCACTTTTCTGTTCCCCCAAGAGCCATAAATTATTGGTGTAAAAAAAAATTTTAATGTCCTGGTTTTCCCTTTAGTCAAACTGTTCAACTTAACATTGAAACAGTATCCACTCTTTATTATTTATCAGAAACTTCCATTAAAGACAGGATTTTATCAGTATTGTGGTAAATGACAAAAAAATTTCATATATATTTAATATTCTGAACTGGAAAGTTGCTCAACCATTCAACTTCAGGTCAGGTTCTAGAAAACATTTTTTGAGTGCTTAGAATTTTATGCCAAATTATAGGCCTACAAAAGCCTAATTTATATTTGGTATTTTAGTAAAATTGACAAAAAGACCTCAGAGGTCATTTTAGGTTAGCTCAATTCTATGTGAAACACACTGGCTAGAGTCATGGTATATGTTGATTATGAACAGACCTCATGATTCTTAGACCACGTCCTTTCACACCCCTCCTGGTGTGGTGCTAAGATCCTACCTTCTCTTTTCCCTCTTGCTTTCATCTCTTCTGAATGTTATGTGGAAATTTGAAAATACAGTATTCAGAGCAGTCATCTATCCTGTCTTTCTGAGGTCAAATTGTAATAAACAAATCTGAGCTAAGAATGAATATCACTTTGAGGAACATGTGTATACTTAATGACAAAAACATACTCTAAAATCAGAGGTCAGTAAACTATGGCAAACTGTCTGCTTTCTAAAGTTTTATTGGAACACAGTCATGTTTAGTCACTGGCTGCTTTCACAGTACAGTAGTAGAGTTTAAGAGTTGGAACAAAGACCAAAGACCATATGTACCATAAAGTCTAAAATATTTACTACTTGGCTCTTTATTTCTATAAAGGAGTTTGCCAACCCATGATCTACATCATTGCTCTGGCTTGTTCTTCTGATGTTATTTACTAAGAATATTATGTCATAAAACAAAAATTTCATGAACATATATAAGAATATAATTGTCACTTAAAATGTGCTTTTCCATGTTTACTTAAGTTTGTCATTATTATGGTACAATTCACTAATTATAACCTATAAGGGCAGAAGTATAAAGAAATAGGCATTCTTTTCATTTACTTCCCCCCCAATTTAACATGAAAAAAATGTAAACAGGAAAGATAAATAGTGCAACAAATCTCTCCATCTAGATCGAAAAGTTATTTTCTAATATTTTTACCCATTTTTTTTTTCCTGAACTGTTTGAAACAATTACAGACATCATGATGCTGTATCCCTAAATGCTTCAGCATTCATCTCTGTAGAATAACATTATTACACAGACGATAGTATTAGGTATTCAGTCTGTAGTCAAACCACCTCAGTAATCTGTTTCATTTTGTAACTTTTTCAAACCATGATAATTAAGGCTCACATTTCAGTCTTCACCTTCTCCCAGTGCTTATTTTTTTAAGAGCCCATGCCAGTTGCTTTTATAGTCAGTCCCACATATTAGGTCTGTATTTCCTAGTAAGACTGGTATTCTTAAATTCAGTGTATTATGTTTTTGGTTTTATGTCTGAGACTCTAGTTCAAAACCAGGGGTACTGACAAAATTTGTGCAAAGAATCTGAAAATAGTTATATAAGTGGGAAGTTCTCCCGACTCATAACTTAATATTTTCTATAGATGAAAGAAATGACCTGCCGTGATGTCGTTAAAGAAGTTGCAAAAATGTAAGTTGAAATTTTTATTACCACTGACAAGTATTTCATTTGATCTTACCTTATACATTAATTCTAGAGGTCTGTTTTGTTTGGAAATAATTTAGTGCCTAAGGTGAATGTAACATTCTAATAACGTCTCATTACGGAGAAATATCCATATTTCAAGTGACAGAACAGACCTCGTGATTCAGCAAATGGGATGGGGAAAAATAGCTTTAATGTAAAACTCTTATTAGGTGACAGAATTCACGAGGAGGAGGACACAGCGGACCTGTAAGCACTTCATTTGATAGCTCCTACCCTTTCAAATCTCAGAGGTCCCAGTAATAGGCATCTTAGCTTACAAATTTTATTTTAGGTTTTATAGCTAAATTATTTCTACACGTGAACCACGAAGCTGGCTCATTTATACAGTCTGTTTCTTTGGGCAAGATACGTTAATCATGAAAGTTTTTTAAGAAGATGAAGAGAGCAGGTGCACCTGGATGGCGTCTGACTCTTGATTTTAGCTCAGGTCATGATCTCAGGGTTGTGAGATTGATCCTTGCTTGGGGTCCATGCTGGGCGTGGAGCCTGCTTAAGAGTCTCTGTTCCTCTGCCCCTTACCCACTTGGGCGCTTTCTGTGTCTCAAAAAAAACAAAACAAAACAGTATTTCAATACATTTAAAAACAGCTTTAAGAAGTCCTGAAGTGGTTCATATTACAGGTACGTAGAATAGAATGCTTATGTGACTGCAGTAAGTAACCTCAAAGTCCTGAGTGGCATGCTTCAGAATTCACGGTTCTTCTAGGTCAAAGAATGTAATAATAAGCATGTGGTATTTCAGAAAATCCAATGAAATGCTAAGAGTCGCAGCCAGCTTTTTAGACTTAAAAGTAATAAACATAATATTCCAGAGGATTCACGGCTCTTCTTTTCCACATGAGAACTACATCAACATGGTCTAGTCAGCAGTTTGTGCAAGTGCCTCAGGTTTTAGAATTAATAATACATGCAAGGAAAAAAATCTAAGAGGCTTTATTATATATTTAAATGACATCCTTAATCTCTTCTAAACTGATAGCTATAATAAAATATTGGAAGTGTTATATAATTTTGTCCTGTCACCACTGTTCCAACTGCCACATCACCTGCCTTCCTCCTCCCTTTTACCAAGAGACCCTTCCACTTCCCAGTTAAGAAGCAGAACCCATTCTGTGATTGTCAGTTAATAACATGAGGAACACTGGGAACTACCTGACAACTGCCTGGGAAATACAGAATCCTTACTGAACTGTACAACAGTTTAAATGTGATAAACTCTCGGGGCGCCTGGGTGGCGCAGTCAGTTAAGCGTCCGACTTCAGCCAGGTCACGATCTCGCGCTCCGTGAGTTCGAGCCCCGCGTCAGGCTCTGGGCTGATGGCTCGGAGCCTGGAGCCTGTTTCCGATTCTGTGTCTCCCTCTCTCTCTGCCCCTCCCCCGTTCATGCTCTGTCTCTCTCTGTCCTAAAAATAATAAACGTTAAAAAAAAAAAAAATTTAAATGTGATAAACTCCCATTCCTTCACTGAGAAATGCTTCTGGAAAACCGCCCTTACCACACCTTTTTATTTTTAGGTGTAACAGCAGATGCTAATTAGTTCTGTGTAACAAAGCCATCCCTTATCATTTAGTAAAATGGAGCACTATGTATCTTTTACTTAGTCTAGAAAATTAAGATGCTTTCTCATACTATAGCAAGGCTTTAAAAATATCCTCCAAAGTAAACTGTGTGAAGATGCTGGAAAATGTAAAGAAAGTTTTGATATGATAGTTTTAATATGTTGTATGACAGTGCCTTCTTGTTTGTTGTAATTTGTTATGTGTTATAGTTTAGAGGCCAGGTTAAGGGGCATATAGTGCTTATAAAATGGAGAAGAGGTTTAAAAAGATACCTGCCAAGAAGCTTCAGACTGGAGGGACCAGTAATAACTGCAAACTACTAAGTTAGTTTAAAAAATAATCACTTAATGAAAGGAATAAACAAATATCCTGAAAAGGCAAAAGTAACGATTGGCCTTTTCCCATTTGAGGAAATGTTTCTTTTGAGGTTATATTAGGGACAGATGATCTAATTTGTGCTGACTGTGCATGTTTGTATAGGACCAAATGTTAATTTTAAACTTTTTTGTGTTCTAGAATTTACATAGTACATGATGAAGTTAAGGATAAAGCTTTTGAACTAGAGCTAAGCTGGGTTGGTGAAAGTAAGTTATTTTTGTACATTTACTTGCTCTAAGTCATCTGTACTAAACCTAATTTACCACTGGGTGCCTTTTTCTAATTTTAAAAATTGGTAATGACGTACGTGTACATATTCACGTAACCACTGTGCTCTCTCTGATCAACAAATAGACCAGCTCCCCAGATCACCCTTTAGGCCTCTCTGAATTCATAGTCCTCTGCCTTCTCCCATAGGTAGTTTTGCCTGTCATTCAATTTTCTGTAAATGGAATTACACAGTATATATTTATTCTTTTATCCCTGATTTATTTTCTTCAACATTCCATTTGTGTAAATTATTTGTGTTATGTACAGTATTTGTTCATTTGCCTTGCTGTATAGTGTTCTGTTGTCCAAATATATCACTAATTATTCATTTCCTCTTCTGCTGCTGGTTAGTTGGCCTCTTTCCAGTGGGTTTTTAAAAACTATAATGAGGGGCGCCTGGGTGGCGCTGTCGGTTAAGCGTCCGACTTCAACCAGGTCACGATCTCACGGTCCGTGAGTTCGAGCCCCGCGTCAGGCTCTGGGCTGATGGCTCGGAGCCTGGAGCCTGTTTCCGATTCTGTGTCTCCCTCTCTCTCTGCCCCTCCCCCGTTCATGCTCTGTCTCTCTCTGTCCCAAAAATAAATAAAAAACGTTGAAAAAAAAAAAAAAAATTTAAAAAAAAAAAAAAAAACTATAATGAATATGGGGCGCCTGGGTGGCTCAGTGCCAACTTTGGCTCGGGTCCTGCATCGGAATCTGTGCTGACAGCTCAGGGCCTGGAGCCTGCGTCGGATTCTGTGTCTCCCTCTCTCTCCGCCCCTCCTCTGCTAGCACTCTGTCTCTCTCTTTCTAAAATAAACTAAAAAAATAAATAAAAAAATAAAAACTATAATGAATAGGGCTGCTTTACCATAAACAACTTTAACATTAGATGAATTTTACCTATGGATTGGATACGTTGTATTGCAAATCACAACATAGGCCTCATTTCTAATTCATTTATATGGCTTAATTTGCAGTAACTAAAGGAAGACATGAAATTGTTCCAAAAGACATAAGGGAAGAGGCAGAGAAGTATGCTAAGGTAAGCTGCAGCATGTCAAAACTGTCTGTAGGTACGAAAGTAAGTGTTGAATAATAAAGGAACATGATTGATTTGTATTAAATAATACTTGAGGCAAACTGAACCAAGGACCAAAATTTTCTAGGTTATCCTCAATGGGGATATGTTTGCCCTGGTTCCAAAAATTTTGCCTGTGAAAACATAAGGTTTTTCAGGACATTTAATGCTTTCATTCCATGTGTTCTATCAAGAGTATATAGTCTGTTCACTGTTAGAGCAAGATAAACTTAATTATCCTTTTCTTTAGTTGGGTATGTTATTCTAAGTGTTCATTTTTCAGCGACGTGCTTATTTAACCTTAATTAGATTCAGGCTGTTACAACAACATTAAAAATTGATTTTAAGCACTATCTTTCTCTTAACAGGAATCACTGAAGGAAGAAGATGAATCAGATGATGATAATATGTAACATGTGCTTCAGCATCTATTTTAAATTTCTAATACAGTCCCGTGTAACTCTTTAGCCCTGTGGATTATTATATATCCACTGACCAGTTTTCATTAAATTTTTGTCTTGTAACGACTGAAGTTTGATACCTGTGTAACAAAATTGGTGGGAGTAACCGAGTACATATTTACTTACTTGGCATTAAAATGTTGGTTTAGGTTTACTGAAAAAAATTCCTTAAGTGAAAATACTACAAAAAGAAACTTGGGAATCATTCCTTCAGAGTTCCATTTCATCACTCGCCTAGAATCTAAAGATCATTTATCGCTGGGCTTTTGTGAAGTAAGTCCCTACCAACTCGGTAGGTATTATTTGATGCCGCTACTCTGTTTTACATTTAGTAAAATGATGGTTGGCCAGCAGCCACTGTTAACCTTGAAGTGTGACACATAAGAAAGGTTTTAGGCTCAAAAGTGAATTTTTTTTCCCTTTTATTGCAGTGAGGAGTGGGTTTAAGGAGCCACAAAGTCCCTATTCTGTCACTTCAAAAATTTCTTGATCTGTAAAGTTCAACTAAAGTACCCAGATTTATGCTAAATAAGAAGTTAGACTACAATCGGTATTGAGGCCTGTAAGAACCACTGTCATAACCTGAACAGTACTCAAAGCAGGAAGAAACAGTTTGTAACTCAGGCCAAGTATGCCAAGTCTACACACCCTTTACTGGGTTCATGCCAGTATCACTCTCAACTGTCATGCTTTCCTAAGAAGGTCATGTACTCATTGGAGTTTAGCAGCAGGATACTGCTGGACTTTGAACATCTCTGTAGTTCAAATAGCAAATCATTAGACATGAGTAGCTAACTACTATACAAACAAGTCAAGATTATTTATCATTACCACAGCTTTTATATAAAATAAAACTACCTGCTACATTTTATTCTATTGTGCTGTGAATTCACATCAGTATAGGGGCACCTGGGGTCAGGTGGTAGAGCATGTGACTGTGGATCTCAGGGGTGGTGGGGAGTTCAAGCCCCATGATGGGCATAGAGAGCTTCCTTGAAACAAAAAATTCACATCAGTATAGCTAAAAAAAAGCCCTTTAAAAGAATGGACACTGGTTCTAAAGAAATTTCTAACTCTGAAGAGAGAAGCCACCTAAAAACTATAGATACTGTAACATACATAACTGGAAAACTGTATAAACAGATATACCTATTTCAGCTATGAGACCGTTGACTTTCATACATAGTATATGTAAAATTAATAATCTAGGTTCAACTGTGGGAGGCACTCTGTAATTGCACCATTGAAATATTGATTAGCCTTTGTGGGGGGAAAAAGCTGGTACATTTTACTTTGATAAGATTATAAATTTATTTTCTTTTTTTTTTAATTTTTTTTTTTTTCAACGTTTATTTATTTTTGGGACAGAGAAAGACAGAGCATGAACGGGGTAGGGGCAGAGAGAGAGGGAGACACAGAATCGGAAACAGGCTCCAGGCTCTGAGCCATCAGCCCAGAGCCCGACGCAGGGCTCGAACTCACGGACCGCGAGATCGTGACCTGGTTGAAGTCGGACGCTTAACCGACTGCGCCACCCAGGCGCCCCAATTATAAATTTATTTTCAGAGAAGATCCAGTACCTTATTTACTGTAAACTCTCTTGATATGGGCACCTGAAAAGAGAAATCAAAAATGTTTTAAAGAATCAAGTTTTAGTTTAGGGATTACAAAAAATATATTTAGACTATTAAAGCACTTATCTGATTAAGACTATCCATTTGCTTCTATTTCCATCATTCATAAAGGGACCTGAAAAATAAAAGAGAAAGATCAGTTGTAGGTCATATGTTTTCCTTTCTTTTTTATTAAAAAAAATTTTTTTTTTAAATCTATTTATTTTTGAGAGAGAGACAGCATGTGAGCAGGGGAGGAGC